TTCCTACCTCCTGGCCAACAATAAAGAATAGACATATCATGGTAATAGGTTCCAGTAGCTTCGTCGTAGTTGTCTCCATATGTTTCACAGGTACAAAGGTCGGTATGTGATTTGCACGCATCACAGATTCAGTGGCTGGTATTGCTAAGAAAAGGAATATCTAAGACATGTCAAACTGAAGTACTTTTGGAAACCTGTGTGAGTGGCAATGATTATATTTTGCTACATGAAAATTGTTTATATAGGGAAGAAGAATAATCCTTGTTTGCAAAATTGTGTTCTGACCTTCAAGTGTCTCTGCCAAGTTCTATCAGTCCAATGTTATTATACTCTGGGGACTAGCATTGTTTATTATTGATGAGAAGACATATAATGATATGATGACACCCATTTACTATCTTCTAAAGTTTTCTGTGTGTTTTACAAAGGACTTATATTATTATAATATATGCATAATACGTAATAATATATATGTAGTGCCAACAGTTTGCGCAGCACTTATAAAAAGAAAAGGAAATAGAAAGACAGTACAGTTACAATATGATTCAGTACAAGAGGGTTCAGAGGACCCAGTTTATGAGAGCTTACAATCTAAAAGAGATTGGGATATGATACAAATTGTATTAATTGTGAGGGATGAGCTGATGGAGAAAAATGAGGCAGGATAGCCTTCCCTGAAAGCTGAATATTAGGCAGATTGTAAAGATATAAATTAATGCAGCTATAATAATTATTAAATCATTATGTGTATTCTAATGCAAGCAGTGTAAGCACCTATATTATGACCTGGTTCCTGTAAGAAACAGTTCAAAAAGTCAATCAGTTCAAGTGCTAACAGAAAACATGCTGATAGGAGAAAAGAGCAGAGTGAGGGAGAGATGAGCTCATCACTGTGTTGCTTGTCCTTTCACTGTGCAGTCACAGGCTAGAGTGGGTCCAGGATGACCTAAGCTGAGAGGAAGTGATTTAACCACTTCCCCTCCACCTAAAATACTCCGAAATACTGCTACAGGGCGGCAGGGGTGAGCAAAATCATGTATATATATGTGGCCATTCGTGACCTCAGCTGTCAATCACCGGGTCCCAGACGGTGATTACTCGCAGGCACCTGGTGATCACCAAGTATCTCCGACGGGGGAGAAAACTGTGTATAAACAACACAACACAAATCTCTCCCCTGTCAGCTCCTGCACACTGCTTTGTATGGCTCTGCATAGCAGAGCCATGCAAAGCAGTGTGCGTACAATTATTATTATTATTATTATACAGTATTTATAAAGCGCCAATAGTTCGCTCAGCACTGTACATTACAAAGGGGGACAGAACATGTGACAGAACAGTACCAATACAATGCAAAACATGAGGGGAAATTGAGGCCCCTGCTCTTTGGAGCTTACAATCTAGGAGGGAGGGGATAGTGGTACAGGAGGAGATAGCTGTGGGGGATGGAGTGGTAGGAAGAGTGGAGGGGGTCGGTCAAGTTAGCAGGGTGTAGGGTAGGCTTCCCTGAAGAGATGGGTATTCAGGGTGCGCCTAAAGGAGAGGAGAGTAGGTGATAATCTGATGGGTTGGGGCAGGGAGTTCCAGAGGATGGGTGACACCCTGGAGAAGTCCTGGAGGCGGGCATGGGAGGAGGAGACCAGGGAACTAGAAAGAAGGAGGTCTTGTGAGGAGCGGAGTGTGCGTGCTGGGCGGTACTTGGATATTAGGTCAGTGATGTAGTTCGGGGCAGTATGGTGGACGGCTTTGTACGTCAATGTTAGGATTTTGAATTTGATCCGTTGCGCAATCGGAAGCCAGTGGAGGGATTGGCAGAGGGGGGGTGGCGGAAACAGAGCGGTTGGAAAGGTGAATGAGTCTGGCAGCCGTATTCAGGATCGACTGATGCGGAGATAGCCAGCGGCGAGGCAGGCCAGTGAGGAGGGAGTTGCAGTAGTCGAGTCGTGATACGATGAGGGAGTGGATGAGCTGTTTAGTGGTTTCTGGGGTTAGGAACGCACGTATTTTGGCGATGTTGCAGAGGTGGAGTCTGCACGAGCTTGTTAAAGATTGAACTTGGGGCTGGAAGGATAGGTTGGAGTCCAGAATGACACCAAGTACTCTGGCCTGCAGGGCGGGTTTGATATTGGCGTTGTTGGATGTGATGGAGAAGTCAATGGGGGGTGGGGTCCAGGCTGGGGGGAAGACAAGAAACTCGGTTTTGGAGAGGTTTGTTTAAGGAAGTGGAGCGACATCCAATCTGATATGTCGCTCAGTAGGTGTGTGATTCGGGCAGAGACCGAGGGGGTGAGGTGGGGGGTTGAGAGATAGATTTGTGTGTCGTCGGCATAGAGGTGATAGCTAAAGCTGTGAGAGTGTATGAGTTGGCCAAGGGAGGAGGTGTAGATGGAGAAGAGAAGGGGCCCAAGGACAGAGGCTTGAGGGACCCCAACAGAGAGGGGGAGTGAGGGGGAGGTGGTAGCATTATAGGTAACACTGAAAGAGCGTTGTGACAGGTAGAATGAGAGCCAGGAGAGAGAAGAATCTCTGAGGCCGAGGGAGTGTAGTTTTTTGAGGAGGAGGGGGTGGTCAACTGTGTCGAAGGCTGCGGAGAGGTCAAGGAGTAGGAGCACTGAATAGTGGCCATTAGCTTTGGCGGTTAGAAGGTCGTTGGAGAGTTTGAGTAAGGCGGTTTCGGTGGAGTGTAGGGGACAGAAGCCAGACTGTAGGGGATCGAGGAGGTGGTTGTCGTTGAGGTGAGAGCATAGGCGGGTGTAGATGAGGCGCTCGAGGAGTTTAGAGATGTAAAGGGGAGCAGGGAGATGGGTCTGAGGTTGTTCGGGTCATTGGGGTCCAGGGAGGGCTTTTTAAGTATGGGGGTGATGTGTGCATGTTTCAGAGGGGAGGGGAAAGTGCCTGAGGAGAGGGAGAGATTGAAGATGTGGGTGAGGGAGCGTAGGATGGAGGGGGAGGGAGGTAGTAGGAGTTGTGAGGGGATAGGTTCGAGGGGGCAGGTGGTGAGGCGGGCATCAGGAGGATCTTGGAGACTTCCTCGATGGTGGTAAGGTCAAAGGTGCAGAGTGTTGGGGGAGCTTCAGTATGAGGAATGTAGGGTGGGGTGGAAGTGGAGGTCAGAGCAGTGGTGGGGCCGTGGGAGAGGGGTGATGAGGGGGTAGCTGAGTGAGGGGGAAGGGGGTTGGAGGGAGTTTGAGCAGCGACGAAGTCCCTGCGGGTTATGTCGAGGGGGAGGAGGGATGAGGGGGTAGCTGTGTGAGAGGGGACGGATTGAGAGGGCGTGTGAGTTGCGGCAATTTTCTTTTCGAATTGTGTCAATCTTGTTTTTGAAGTGATTGGCAAACTCAAGGGCGGTGAGTGAGGTGCTGGGTGGAGGTGGGGGTGGAGAGAGTAGAGAGTTGAAGGTGGAGAAGAGTCGGCGAGGATTGGAGGAGAGGGCCTTGATGAGGGTCAGGAAGTAGGCTTGTTTGGCTGCGTGGAGGGAGGGAGGAGGTGTAGGTGCGGAAGGCAGATTTGTAGCGGGTGAAGGCTTGTTGGGATTTTGTTTTGCGCCATAGTCGCTCCAGGGCACGACTGTGTCGTTTGAGGGTTTGGTGTACAATGAAGCACACACACAGGGCAAGTAGTGAAACAGCACACAGTTAACCCTTTGCTCGCCCCAGTTATTAACCCCTTGCTGCCCAGTGTCATTAATACAGTGTAAGTGCTTTTTATTAGCACTGATCATTGTATTGGTGTCACTGGGACTCAGTGACACTAAGTCAGTTCCTTCCAGTGTCAGAATGCCCACCACAGTCCCACTATAAGTCGCTGATTGCCACCATTACTAGTAAAAAAAAAACATTCCAGTATATATACCGCCATTTGTAAACACTATAACTTTCACATAAACCAATTAATTTACAGATATTGGGAATTTTGTTTAGCAAAGACATGTAGCAGAATACATTTTGGCCTAAATTTATGATGAAATTTGATGTTTAAAATTTTTTTACTGGATATGTTTAATAGCAAAAAGTAAAAAATGTTGTATAGTATTTTTGTCAAAATTGTCGGTCTTTTTTTGCTTATAGTGCAAAAAAATTAAAAACGCAAGGGCGATCAATACAACCAAAAGAAAGTTCTATTTATTTTCACACAAATAGAGCTTTCTGTTGGTGGTATTTGATCTCTACTGGTTTTTTATTTTTTATTATGTAAATGAAAAAAAAACATTTTGAAAAGAAAAGCCAGTATTTTCTATTTTCTGTTTTAAAACATATCCAATAAAAATATTTTAAAATTCTTATTTCATCATAAATTTAGGTCAAAATGTATTCTGGTACATGTCTTTGGTTAAAAATGCCAATAAGTGTGTATTAATTGGTTTGTGTGAAAGTTATAGCGTCTACAAACTATGGTATATATCCTGGAATTAAATAATAGCGGTGATTAGCAATAGTATAGTGGGCCTGTGATAGGGAGAGTGCTAACAGATCCTCACAGGGAGGTATACTAACTAATATAGCGATCAGATATAATACTGTAGACTGACACTGTTGGGAAGGGGTTAACATCTAGGGACAATCAAAGGGTTAACTGTGTGCCTAACAAGTGTAATATGTCTTGCTTTTACTAACAGATCTGGCTGCTTTTTGTCTCTGCTTTGCAGGGAAAAGAAGCAGCCAGATTGGTGCTCTGTGTACAGTCCTGAGTCCTGTGCATTTGTAAACATAGGTCTCTGTGCTGTGATTGGACACAGCTGATCAGAAAGTGTCTGTTGACAAAATTGTGCTGTGTCCAACCACAGGTGCAGATTAGCAGGAGGCATGTGCATGAGCGCTCTAAATGTGAAAGCATGCTCGCAATCATGGCTGGATCTAGGGGGGTGCTGGGGTGGGCTATGCCAACCAGATTTTAGTTTTCCCCCCCCCCCCCCCAAAGCCACTATGCTGCCCTAATCTGATACTTTCCGGCCCTAGTTTGACACTGTACTGTGCTTTCCTTGACTGATACTATACGATCTCAGTTATGGGTTGTGTGGGGAGTTCTGCTGCCTGTGCCCAGGCTGTGTACAGTGCAGGGATGGTAGGAGGAGCTGTGCCCCTGTCCTCTGCCCCGCCAGCAGTGACCCCTGCCCTCTGCCCTGCCAGCAGTGACCCCTGTCCTCTGCCCTGCCAGCAGTGACTAAATGCAATTTCTCCTGCGCTCCGGGACCCAGGCCGGTGGTGAGTAGATCAAATCCCAACAAAACAACCACCGTGGCATACAAGGTCGTGCAGCTCCAAACCAAGGCTGGGGAAGCCCGAACAGAACTGTGAAGTAAAACAAGAAGAAGCGCACCAACCTTGCGCATTACCTCAGTAACCAAATTTATTTATTTAGTAAAAGAATGGTACTCACAAACAGCGAATAAAAACAGGCATGTAAGTCCTCCCAGGGACCAGCTCTGAGGAAGAAGGCATGACCTTCGAAACGCGTCAGCTGTACTGAGTGTCCACCCCCATGATGGGATTCGCGCTGGCCTCTTGCCTTTGAAGTCCCTGGGAGGACTTACATGCCTGTTTTTATTCGCTGTTTGTGAGTACCATTCTTTTACTAAATAAATAAATTTGGTTACTGAGGTAATGCGCAAGGTTGGTGCGCTTCTTCTTGTTTTACTTCACTGCCAGCAGTGACCCCTGTCCTCTGCCCTGCCATGAGTGACCCCTGTTCTCTGCCCTGCCAGCAGTGACCCCTGTCCTCTGCCCTGCCAGCAGTGACCCCTGTCCTCTGCCCTGCCAGCAGTGACCCCAGTCCTCTGCCCTGCCAGCAGTGACCCCTGTCCTCTGCCCTGCCATGAGTGACCCTTGTCCTCTGCCCTGCCATGAGTGACCCTTGTCCTCTGCCCTGGCAGCAGTGACCCTGTCCTCTGCTCCCCTGACATTTTTTACTGTACCCCACAAATTGGACAGGCTAGATCCGGCCCTGCTCGCAATGTTTAATTACATTGCTGGGCCTGCAGCTGCCGTTCGGTCACAGCAAATCTACTGTGACCGGGAGGCAATTGGTTAATTGAACGAGCAGAAGTTAGAAGCTGAATGGTTACTATGCACAGCTGCACCAAATTCTGTGTGCACCAGTTTTAGCAAATCTACCCATAGTTTAGCTGCAATTTCAGCTTTTGCCTGACACTAAATTTAGGTATTGCCATTGTTGTACATTGTACATTAGTGCTGAGTCATTTTGCTATTGTATTCAGATGTACTATAATTAGAGGAGACTCAGTAAGTACAGGAAACTATGCTAGTTCACCAAGAGTCACCAGTCACTTTATCTAAGGCTAAAATAGGCAGATTTCAAGCCAAGACCTGCAATAGTGCCTTCTAGACACCTAAAATACAGCTACTTTATGATAAAATGAGTGTAGTCCAGACATTGCTGGGATACCTTTTATAAGGTCGTGTACCGAGGTGCGTGTTTATTCTTTTGGCTTTATTATTGACTTCTGTTCTAGATTATTCTGGTGTAATTGTCTGACTCTTGGCTTCACAATTTAAGGTGAAAACCACAATTATTTTATTGCGGGAAACAGTTCACCACAGAATACCTCAAGATGGAAAAGGAAAAGTGCAGCATCATGGGTTCAGAGCCCTGTAATCTATGTACAAGCACACCTTTTGTTTTTAAACAATGTTACTTGCTGTGCCATAAGACAAGGAAAGACTTCCTCTGCCCATTTTCTGCACCATTCGAACTCCCCTTCTCATTAGATAATATCTCATTTTAACAAATGCTGAGATAAATCACATAAATCATAAAACATTCTAATCTGCTGTACATGAAACACTCTAATCTGCTGTGAGATGCATTAGCAGTGCATTACCCCTGGTTCACGTTTTACGCAGGCACAAGAGTCCATTAATTTGAATGGGCTCCCGTGCCTGTGACACGCAAGGAAGAAGTCCCTGCACTTCTTCTGAAACCTCGGTTCCCAGTACGGTTGCGTTTTCCAGTGCGGGTGGTGTGCCATTAGAATTAATGTCCACATTCCTTTGTGCGGGTGGTGCAGCTGCACGGATCCGCAGCCGCACCACATGCACATATGTGAACCTAGCCTTAACCATTTGGACTTGAAAAGTCCATATACATGACTGAAGGAAATATTATGTGTGCAGATAATTTACTAATTGTGTATTTTTCTCTTCCAGAGGTGAAGACAGGAGTGATGACAGAAGAAAAGCAAACTGTTGTAGACGGAAGCGATGTTACACTTGTCTGCAAAGCAGAAAAATATCTGTTTACAAACTTGTTATGGTGGTATCCTTCCGAACAGCAAGTGCCTTCTTCCATTCCCGAAATCCACCACAGAGAACACACCACCTTTTTTTCATTTACTATTAAAAATGTGACAAAAGAACAGGCTGGGCTATATAACTGTTCCGCTGAGAATCGATACACAAAGGAGGTGTTGTATCGCTCAACTCAACTCATAGTCCAAGGTGGGTTAATATTTATGGTATAAATACAAAGAAATCTGATCTGAGCACACCAATGAATTTAGACCAACCACATGGGGAAAACTAACTGTATATAATGTTTTAAAATACTTTTGAAACTGTTTGCATTTCTTACTTTGTACTTAAAATCTGTATTTTACAAATAAATCCATTCAAAATGCAGAGAGCATTACAATGTTACTACAGAGATGGCCTGCGTGAGCTATTTGCTTTAGACTCTCTTCCTTATTGAAATGTTGTAAGGGACCCTCTGAACAAAGCAGGCAGCAGAAAGTGAGAGGTGGGGTTGGTTTACTCCACTCATTCAGTTATGCTTTTAAAATTGAGCTTAAGTTGTTGAACTTAGTAAACAACAGGCATCTTGCTGTGAACAAACTCTTATGTTTGTAAGTATGTAGACATGGTTGAAGAAGTCATCAGCCCTTCATACCCGATCTGTGAAGTTGTTTTTCTTCTGCTCTAGCTATAGGAGTCTGAGGGCACTCTGCATAATGCAAAATAGGAAATGTGTAGCATGAGAGCGATACCACCTCATATGCAGCAAGTGAGCAAATCACGGCCCACATTAACTGGTCCAACGTTAACTGTTGGATTAGTAGGATGATATACACAAATGTACTTTGCATGTGGCCTCAAATGTATAGAAATAAACTTAGGGCGATATCTCATTTTGTCTAAGTTTCTAAATGCTGACTCTTTTATGGCAGAAAAACAGGCCCCGTGGGTGATGCAGCATCTTCAAAATGTAACAGTAAACAGCAGCAGCACATTGGTTCTGGAGTGTAGAGTTGATGGAATTCCCTTGCCCACAATAACCTGGTTCAAGAATGGATACGAGATTCAACCTGCATCAGGTAGGAGGTGCAGAAGCTACCATATACTCTGTGTGACTAGATTCTAGGCATTTTCATCACAGGCTGTAGGACCTTTCTAAAAAAAAATACCCAATGTTGGGCTTTAAATATGATTGCTATATAAAAAAAAAATTTTTACACATAATATTTAAAATGCATTTCCATGCTTTAATTTGTGAAAACACCTACTTTATATTAGTTACATGTTTGTATTAATATAGAATAACTAATAAAAATATTTTAAACAGAGCTGCTTAGCGTTTAAGTGCTTTTTATGTGCGCATGAATCCTACCCAGCTTTCTCCTCTGTAATGTTAAGGGGGGGCAGGCGCTGTCGAGTAATGTTTACCATAATTAACCCTGTCTGTTCTGTGCCATCATTAGTTGTAAAGTAGATATGAACACTGTCTGCCCTAATAAAGGGTTAAAGATCTCAAGGCTTGGGTTGTACATTGTTTGTCGATATGCTTAAAAAAGCAGTTTCTCACTTTTTTCCTTGTTTTCACATGTATTCTAAGCAATAGAGGCTGCCCATATAGTACCATGTATAAATCTGCACCAAAGAAACAAGCAGAAAGGAAACAAATATTTTAAAACAATTTTTTTTAGTGTGTGCTGTGTGACTGGGAACACATAACAAACATACGGTGGGGGATTCTCAAATTGGACTGCAAAGGTGGAAATACATTTTAAGCACAAGCACTGTTGTGACAATTTTAAAGTTACCATTAGTGTGTAAATTATTACATAGAACAGAATTTGCACAGTTTAGAGTTGCTAGACAAAGTGCTATAGCATGAATAGCTAACTTATAAAATACACACCTATCTTGCTGTGTACATTTCATGTATAAAATCCAGTAAAGTATTGTTTTCCACATTCTTCTTTTCTTAGGAATCACTTTGCTTTACAATGAAAACCTGATTATCGAGAGGGTAAAGAAGGATGATGAGGGACTGTATACATGCCAAGCAATTAATGAAATGGGTCATGCCAACAACTCTGCCTACGTTACTGTTCGAGGTGAACAGTTATCCTTCTTCTTTTAATGTTTCATAGTGTTTAACATGCAAACCTTATCTTTTGATGTAATGTTGAATGTGATGTGAATGTGTACAAATGATGTACAGTTCATGGTGGCAGCCATGTTTTCTATTTCAATAGTATGTATCAAAATAGTTTTTACAAAGTTTTGAAAGGTAGACATAAACATAAAAGAATAAGGCCCCTCATGATTAATCAAAAAGCAAACATAAGTGCAAAACTTCTAAGCAGGTGGCATAAAGGGGTTTATTTACTAAAGCTGGAGAGTCCAAAATCAGACTCCCTTCTGCATAGAAACCAATCAGCTTCTAACCTCAGCTTGTTCAATGAAGCTTTGGCAATGAAACCTGGAAGCTGATTGGTTTCTATGCAGAAGTGAGTCTGATTTTGGACTCTCCAGCTTTAGTAAATAAACCCCAAAGTGTCAGCAGCCATATGTTCTAACTGCACACACAGGTTGTGTTTCCTCCTTTTGCCATGCACTATAACCTCAATGGATGGAGTGGAAAAGGTTAGAACTTCTTTGGGATTATTATTGCTTTTTATGTCCCCATTGAGGAGATTTACTCCAACATTCCTTTTCCAAAAACTTCACAAAAATAGAAGAATCTTCCCAGTGAGAACAATGAGCAGGGTTTGACCTTTCCCAACATTTTACGCGCAGTCGACTGGTCAGGGGGCAGATGCAGGTTGCAACATTAATAATGAAAAAATTTCTGTGTCCCCATTGTGGAAATTTCCCCTCATATCCTGTACCAATAACATTCTGGCCTAGTAAATAGCTAATAAAGTTAGACCACAGCATGCACTACAAAGAACTACTGTATATGGCATCAGTATGAAAGGTAGATGCCTGTACCACAACAGAAGATGATTAGAACATCTAAGTTGTGGATGAGTTAATAGTAGGCAATTTCTATCTTTAGCTATCTTTCTGAAAACTACCCTTGGAATGCATTAGATTCCCTGTCAAAATTATCATCTGGTGTGGTTGAATGATGCAATGTATATTGTTCATTTAAGTACATGCAGATACATTTCCTGAATGTGAACTTGTCATAATCCAAATTGCTTGTCAGGTGGAGAGGAGAGGTCTAACATAGAAGTCATCATCCTTGTGTGCACAGGAGTGGCGGCAACCTTGTTCTGGCTACTTCTGACTCTTTTCATACGGAAGCTGAAAAAGGTATGATATTTAAATGAGTGAGTACCTTATTTGACATTAAACTGTACTGGTATTGCTTGAAAGACAGACACAAAGCCTTATTTCTGAATTGAGAAGAGCCTGATTAATGCAAAATCCAAAAGTGATGTCATCGGTTTATGAGAACAGTTTTCAGTAATATGCATGGTCAAAACAGACCATGAGCCTGCTATGGGACTCAAAGGTGTCTATCTACACAATGAATTATGCAGGCAGTAGAAGTATTTAACATGAATGTACATAAATTTGGGGGCTCTATTCAGTAGCTTTCAAAGTACCTAGTGTTCTGTATAGGAATTGCCTTCAGGATAGAGATTATAGAGACAGGACCCCGCTCTGTCATTTTATGTGGCCTACCACTTCATGGCTGAGTTAAAGAAATAAATCCTCCTGCGCTCTTATGTAAACGGATAAGACTAAATACCGATACTAAAAAAGCAGCTCACATCCAATCCTATACCATAAGGTCTAAATCACATGTATATAATATTATAATGATGCAGCGCTAATAAACCTTTCAATTTCACAAAAAAAACATGTAGAATAATATATAATAATACACAGATCAAATATTCAAAATATAATCTAGAAGCCAAACATAAAAGCGATCACACAACAAGAGTGACCCAAATCCAATAATGGATATATTAAACGTGACCCCCAAGTCCCTGATGGGACACAATAATAAAAAGATGATGTGAATCCCTAATAGGGATCAAAACAGCACACTATGTGAAACACACATTACACATGAAGTGACTTAAAAGTCCATAAATAAGTGCGGTGATCATCTCATTCATGCACGTTGTGGATATCAAAAACCACCCTCGATGTGATCCCCAAGGAAATGGCTAGAATGGCCTCTCACCTCCACTTCATGACCCTGCAGGGCCACAAAGCAAGAAAGCTCCTCTAGATCCTCAGAGTAGCCACTCTATCGTTAGGATGATGCCAACAGGTGATGACCATTCACCAGTCCACTGGGACCGGTTAGTAGGCAGCTTAGCACTCCCATAGGTACCATAAATCATATGCACAAAACATTTCCATTGACATTTTCTGTATTATCCATATCAAAACTTGCTGTCAGGATGATAAATCGTAAAGATGCTGCTCATCAAGTCCAATTTTACAAGCAACCTCGCACTGCGGCTTTAAGAAACTGAAATGATGAAAGGATTCTTCCTAGGATTGTTCTAAGTGTTAAGGGAATATCCTCCTTTTAATCATTCTTCAAATTCTAAAGTGAAATTCATCCACTGTCTTCTGCTGTTTCCCACTCCAATCATCCCAGATCAGGCACTTGTTCTGATCTCACTGGCTACCACTGGATCCAGGACAATCCTCCCAGAGAAGAACCTGTGTGTTGGGAGATCCATTGATGAAGGTACAAAGTTAGGAGAACTAGTGAAGAAAGCATCCTCCGCACCAGTGAGATCAGAACAAGTGCCTGATCTGGGATGATTGAAATGGGAAACAACAGAAGACAGTGGATGAATTTCACTTTAGAATTTGAAGAATGATTAAAAGGAGGATGACCTCCAGTACAGTAACAGCAGCATTGCATTGTCAAAAACAATGGTTAGAACACATCCTCAGTCTGCTGATTGGCAACAAAGGAGCAGAAGCTGGTGAGATCATTCCTCAGTTTACTCTGATTCCTCCTCCTATCAGCGTTTTCCTTGTCAGTATTTAACACAGCCTGATTGGCTCAGAGAATTGGACCTGTCTCTTCCAATCTGAGTGCTGCTGTGGAAGAAGTTTCAGAAGGCTAAACAGAATAAATTCAGGTGATATACCAGCTGCATTTAAAAACATACAAGTGTTAGCATGGATAAAAAATGGTCTAAAATAATGAGTAACAAATGCCAAGAAAAAATAGCAAATAGGACGTAAGGCATTGATTTGTTTGATTGGATGATAGCACAAAGGAATGTTTACTTTTCTGCCAGTAAAAGGCAAATACAGGCCTGTCTGCATCTAGTAAACTGCAGCATTTCGCTCCTTTTTACCTTGATTTTCTGCTGAGCCACAATAATTCTGATTTACTGTATTCTGAATTAAATTCTGTGCTCCTATCTCCGCCACAATCACAATAATTAAGTTATACCATGTAAAATCAATTCTTCATTTAAAATTGTCAGGGCTTTGGCAGAAGATTTCCCTGCAGATGCCAACTGGTGGAATGTTGGGCTGGTAAAATGAATATAGCCATTATTTAGAAGAGTGCCTGGCCTTCAGGATAGTGTACATCATCTGCTTTTGCAATATGCATATAGCTAGTAAAAGGGAATTAAGTTAAAGTAGAACTTATAGCAAATAGTTAAATGCATGGGTAACACATGCTCCCTTACTGTTTTACTTGGCAAAAGAATTTTTAATTTTGGTCAGCCATTCTTGTGATGTACATATCTCTGTTTGCCAGGAGAGTCACTCTGCTGCTTTCCTACTCAGAAATACTACTTCATGGATCAGTTCCCTGTTCATTGAACAGAGGTGATAATGCTGAGGTTCCACAAGAAAATATATTGCTTAAAGCAGAATTCCCAGAATAGAAATAAATACCCTTTACGCGTTGCAAAGGTTAAATGTTTGTTAAGTCTAGGGCAGAGGAAGAAACTGTAATACTTTGATCCTCACTCTGGCAAACTTTGCTCACCTCTTTTCTCTGACTTTTTCAATTAGTGTGTAGGCTCACCTGCTCAGCAGAAGTTGATTGCTTAATTGACTTCTGTGGAAGGAACATGTTGGAAAACTGTCCGATGTTCCGGCAGGGGGTATTCCTTCATCCTCTGACTTTTGGTCTTGTATTGTTTATGATGACATCAGCGTGTGACCACTGGCCAGATCACCAAAACAAATGTAGCTTCAGAGAACTGGCAGCACAGTATGGAGGAAGCCTGTTGGCTTTAGAAACAAGGTAAGTATTGTAAGTTTCCGCTGGCCATACATTGATCGAAGTTCTGTTGGTCTATTTCAATTATTGTGTAGGCTCCTCTGATCAGCAGAAGTTTATTGCTTAAACTGACTTCTGTGGAAGGAACATGTTGGAAAACTGTCCGATGTTCCGGCAGGGGTTATTCCTTCATACTCATGTGGATGGAGGAATCTGTTAGTTTTTCTATTGTTCAGCCCACTGGCTGCAAAAAAAACTAACCTTTTATGGACAGCTTTAGTGAGCATTTAACCCTTTCAGGGAACAGAAGCTCCATTGTAAGGGTATTTTTTTGGTGCATGGGGTGGTGCTTTAATTGAGAAATACTCGTGTCTGCCTGGCTGTAGAAAATGGAAAATCATTTTGTAAATAACTTGCTGTATAGACATACAAATCTTTTGTCTGGTTTAACTATAAACATAGTGTATACTATGTAAAACACACACGCACAGCCCTTATTCGACTCCTAGTCATCATGAGTATTTTTAATGGTATTGATTAGAGCAACTCGGGTTCTATCCTGTCCCAGGAGATTGTCTATGTTTTTTATGGAACTACCTTTCCAACTTGGTCTGGATTAGAGTAACATATTGCCTAATCTACTGCATTGTGTGAGCAGTTTTTACTTAGTTTTTCTTGTTTGCAGCCACATGCGTCTGAAATTAAAACAGGCTACTTGTCCATCATAATGGATCCAGATGAAATGCCATTAAATGAGCAATGCGAAAGGCTACCTTATGACAGCAGCAAGTGGGAATTTCCTCGTGACAGGCTCATTCTAGTGCAGTCTGTGCTACTGTTTTTTCTTAATATACTCTCTTTTATTAGGAAACCTAATAATTTGTAATATGCTATTTCTAGCAGATTTTTGTAGATTTTTATTTGAAGTGTCAGTCCACACAAAGTAGATTGTTCACTTTTGAATGGATCCTGGAAAGGCTGAATAATCCACAGCTTTCATTTTTACATGATGACTCCAGAAATTAGATATCTGAACTTGAGTTCCTGATTTCAACCACCAAACCTAGTTATTAGAATGGACTTTAGATTTTGCTGCATTAAAGTGTTACTAAACCCAGGACCCTGCATTCACCATATCTGGTCTCCCACAGTACACAGAACATAGAAATCCAATTATTTTAGTAAGTATAAACTGCTAAATAAATGTTCTCATCTGAAGTTAGAACAGTCTTGTGGCTTCTATCAGTGTTCAGCTAAGCACTAGGTAAAGTTTGTAGATGGAGTTTTTTTCTGCTCCAGGAGGATGCAAAAACCCCTGACCTCTGTCTGACCAGTGCCGATTGGCCCTGTGCTGATCACATGCGCCCCTCCAAAGAGGAAAAAAAACTCTCTAGCAATACACACCAAACTGAATATGTGCAAAATGCCTACGGTTCAGTCTGTCTTATCAGGAGATAAGGGTGGTCGGTTGAAAAAGGGGAGGATCAGAGAAGAAAGGATCAAATGGCCTTTTTACACAATGTAGAGGATTAACCCCTTAGGTGAGTATAACACGCATACTTTACTGCATATACAGACTGATTTTACTGTCGGGTGGGTTTAGTAACACTTTACGAATGAAAATTCATGGTGGCAATAAGAAAGCCTGGGAAATCTTGACAAGAGATATAATATTACAGTAGATTCTCTACCCACCAGTGTTCATCTATAACTAAGCTATATGACTTAGATAGGCAGACCTTTTAAAAGTACTGTTTCAGTATGGAATATGGGAGCTACCAATGGTGAATTGTTTGTGAAGCTGAAAGGCTGTCGTCCTTGTCTTCCTTCCTCAATAAGGGACAGTAACGAAAGCAAAAATAAAGGTGTCAGCCGTAGTGTTTGAAACTTAAAAATAAATCAGTATTTCCTGTAATTTTGTCCTTTTAGATTCTCTTTAACCAAATTAAGAAATGAAAATATAGTCCAATTGTGCCCAAGTTGATGGAAATCGGTGAAGGTGGATATACCTGATTGAATGCATTGTACTTGATCA